AGAATTGTATGAAAAAGAAAATTCTTAGAACTAGTCGGTGGAAAGAAGTGGAAACCAAAATAAGAATTCTTTATGGTAATAAGAAGTAAAAGGTCATTGAGCGAGATAATTAAAACAGCGATCATTGAAACAGAACGAATGAGTGTAAAGAACAATCAAACACTATTTTTCCTCTTTTATTGGACAAGGCAAAAATTATGCAGACATAATACTATCAAAAACGAATAGGATTTTCGTTTCACCCACAAGAAGGCTGTACACAACGATCTCATTAAAAATTGTCGTTCACGCGCCAATAAAAAATCTTTTCACATCAATGGCATTAATGCGAAAAGAAGCTGAGCAATTGCGCGTGAACTGGGTTTTTAACTTCGGGTGTCGTGATCCATGCCTTGTATATTTGACGCCCAAACGCACCGTCTAAATGTCCGGGCACCGAAATATCGATAATATACCCCTCGCAGGATTGCCTATAGGTCGAGAAGCTCCGGTCAAATCCGAGTCTCTGAAATGAGTAATTAGGACTAATCCGGAAATATTTGGACTCGGTCGATACTCTCCGGACCGATTAACAGCTCTCGTTATCTGAAATTCTTATCACTATAAAAAGATTGTGTTTTGCTCAAGTAGTACGCACACATTCCCTAAAAAAAAACAAAACAATAGTAATAATAGTAGAAATTTAGACAGACGTTCTGTGCAATAATGCCATCATTGGTAATCATTGGTAGCTCGTCTACAAGGTGGCCGAGCTTTTTTAGCCACAGCATTATGCCGCATTGTTTCGAGCCAAGAACCAGAATATCTTTGTCCTCTTCGGAAGTTATACCCAATTGGCATATGCCATTTAATACAGATTAGGATTATAAGAACCGACAATAGACTTGATTTTGGATTAATTTCATGTCGACGCCGAAGCCATATCGCACACACAGTATCTCATGAATTAACGAGGCTCAAGAGATATCCGCGTTGATCATGTAAAGGATCCATAAGGAATATGCGCTCCCGCATCTACACAACCTTTGTGGCTCAATGCACCCATTTTAGTCACACAGAGGAAAAATCCAGGGATTCGAATT